CCCCACGGCCGGAGGAGGCCGAGTGAGGCCCCCCCTGGCCATGCGGGATGGCCTTGGTCTGCTTCCCCTGGGGGCCCGGGCGCTTCCCCTGCCCCCGGCTCTGGGGCCAGCCCCGAGTTCCTTAAGGAGGGGCCTTCTAAACAGCCTCGGCTTTGGCAGCTCATTTTAAATGTCAGCCTGGCTGTAAAGTTGTTTTGGGATTTTAAGGAAACAGGACCGCTGTGGTGCGTGGTAGCCACACTCTGGTACCGCTTTTCGGAAGGGCAGCTCTCAGGGGTGCAAGAGTCGCCTGCACAGAGGAATTTTTTTAGAATAAATTCTTGTTGATGTAATATTTGTGTACGTGTCAGTGACTAAGTAGAGCAGGTCCGGGCATTTATTCAGTAATATTACCACTGCTGGTTATGTCATAAGAAACCTATTGCAAAAGTTTTTTAGATTTTTTTTTTTAGTTCTTTTTATTTTCCACATCCACTGCAGCTTGCTGTGGACGCTCTTTTTCTCATCAAAATTTAAAATGTGGTCCCTTACTTTCAGAGGCGCAGAGTAAAGTCTCTTTTCTAGGGGTTTTCTCAGTTGGTCCCAGTTTTGTTTACTTGTGGTTCTGCTGGGGGAGGACAGGTGGGAAAACTGCCTTCTGAGTCTGGGTAGCTCACTTGTGTGTCAAATGGCCTTGGAGCTCCTCCGAGCTGCAATGGGAACAGGCCTGTAGGTATCCCCAGGAAAGCAGCAGCCGGTTCTGTGGGGAAGAGGGTCCTCGGTGCATACCTGCTACCAGTGTGCGTTGGCTAGCCTGCCCTGTGTCCCACACACCGTTCAGTGACAGCCGTTGTGTTCTGCTGCAGCCCGGTGGACCAGCAGTGGCACCATCTAGACCTTAAGACTTACATTGTATTTGAGAATCTAAATTTAAGACAAAGCGTGACCTGTTTTATAGTGAGGATTATGGGATGTGATGGCTGCAGTGGCGGAAGATGACTTGGCTCAGCAGGTCACTTCGCATCCAGTCTTCTGCATGTATTAACTCACATACTTTGCTTAAGCCTCCCTGAATTAATTTGGTATCAAAGATCTTGCCTCTTCCATTTTAAATGCAAGAGAAAGGACATGTTCAATTAAATAAGAAGGTGACATTTGCATAGCTAGGAAGAGAGTTTCCTTTTTGGCTAAAAGATGTAGTGAGACTGTGAAATCTGTTTGGAAAGTCAGTGAGGCCAAAAAAGAGTCTCAGCTAGTCTTGTCTGCCCTCTGTATAATGTGCGTTAAACGTCAGCAGTTTTCTAGAGACACATTAACATGGAGCGAGATGATCTCAGCTGTGGAATTGTGCTTGGAATGGCCAGTGCTTACTTGTTTGAAGCAACACCAGCCTGTAAAGCGTTCGTCTGTTCTGTCATGAGTTATGTGTTAAACTTGAAATCCTGACTCAGAGTTTCAGAAGTCATAAACTGACATGCCTTTGAGGGTGGAGGAGGGGAAGAAGTGGAGGAGGAAAGATTACCATAAGCCTGCCTGCTGCAGATTTGTTATCCCTCTCCATGATCCACGTAGCAGGTGGAAAACTGCTATTCCTGCCTGACCCTGAGGAGCGAGTCCAGTGCTTCCCCAAACAGGAATATCTGGACCAGTGTTGTTACTGTACAGGCTGACTGGGTTGAACTCTCCTCTGTTTATGATTTGGTGATGGAGTTAAACTTCCAAGTTTAACAACCCTGTTGTAGTTACCTTGGCATCTGTTTTCCTGATGCTTGTAGGTAGTTTTTCTGGTATGAATGGTCTGTTCCAGGATTTGAGTTATGAAAATGTTTCTCTCTTGTTGTAGATGACACTTAGATCAACGTAGTGAGTATTTATTTTTATTAAGAAAAATTTTTAAATAAAGGGTTTTTAAAAAACGGCCTTGGTTTTGGTAAAGGCTCTAATGTGACAGTTCGAGTGGTGTAGTTTAATGCATTGGTGTCTTTTTGCTCAGGAGAACTCCTGGGGTCATTTTCTTTTCTTTGTTCTAGCCCAAATAAGTTCTAAAGCTCTTGGTTTTCATTCTTACACTATTTGTATTCTATCAAGTCTGGAGCAGAAGACAAATTGTAGCTTGCAGTTAAAAGGAGCGTAATTGTTGAAACTAACCTGATTTAAGAATAAATCCCTTATTGCCTTTATTTTAAATTTGAGTCATCTTTAATCCTTTAAATGTAATTTTAAGTGTGCACAACTTGTTTATCGGTAATTTTTATCAAGGCTTTGGTATTGTTTTCAGGTATATGTCTCAAGGAAAACACGCAGAAGCAAGAGAACTAATGTATTCAGGGGCTTTGCTGTTCTTCAGTCATAACCAGGTAAGTCACCAGGTTTTGTGTGTGTGGTTGGGGGCGTGTTATTCCAAGATTTTGAGGGTGCATTACCAGTGGTAAATGTTTGGGGTAATTGCTTTGTAATCTTTTGTTTTATCCCTTTGTTGAGCCTTTCTCTGCAAAGAAGGATTATGCCAGACTGGAACATAAAGCAGAAGTGTTTGTGAGCATCCAAACAATAATTACAACCACATTTGTTTTGCTTTCCTGGAGGCTTCTCTTTTGCTGCCATCAAATTACTATAATTTTTTTATAAGGGAGGGTTGAGACTTGATACTGCGCCTTGGCTGTAGATGTTGATAAAAGTATGAAATCTGCCTCTGACAAAATTCTGGTTGATATTTTCTTTTATTTAATGATATGTTCCTCACTACCAGTGTGTGTCTGTTTTGTAGCAAAACAGTGCTGCTGATCTGTCCATGCTGGTGTTGGAGTCTTTGGAGAAATCGGATGCAAAAGTAGCAGATGACCTTTTAGGTGAGGAGACCTTTGCGCCTGGTTTGATGGTGTTCAGGTGTGCTTTCACTTCCCAGTGACTGTTAGCAGCCTTGGAACCTGAAATCCTGTTTGTATGCCCCCCCACATGGCCAGGGGTTACCATCTTCATAAAAATGGACTGGGGACAACTGTATCAGAGAAAAATGGATTCCTAATAACTGTGTGGGCATGCTTAGAACAGACATGGCTGTCTTGTGGCATTGTGCTTTCCTCGATGCAGCAGTGATGTATTGTCTGCGCAGCCACTGATGTCCCAGGGCTTTGGTGTATGGTGGTTTCCCACCCTAGCAGTGTGATGATGTGCACGTTACTTGTGATTCAGCTGTTCACCAGAAAATTTTCCGTGTCCAGCTGTGAGATTTGGTGAGCAGACAGACAGTTCAGACCTTCGCAAGAGCTGCCTGGGCAGACTGCAGCTGCAGCGTGGGCTCCTATTAGCAACCTACGGATGGAGACAGACAGAGGCCGTTCTTTGTTTACTTATATCAGCTCTGACATTTTCTATCCCATATATAACTTCCGATGGTGCTTTTCCAAACTACAGCCCTCTGTCCCTCGCAGCTTCCCTGTGAATGGCAAGCAGTCCCGTAACCTGCAGCCTTTCCTCCTCCTTGGGACGGCACACTCCCCTGTCCCGATGGATGAGACAGGGAAGCTGTCACCAGCTGACTGCACGGCCCAGGTTTTGGCTCTGGAGGAGTCATAGGACAGATGCAGGATTGCCTTGATGTACGAGTAGTGGCTCAAGTTCAAAGTCACTCTTTTTTAAGGTGGCTTGTGGAGGCCATTAAGGGAGGTTAAAGACACTGTACCTTACATGTTCTATCTTAAAGATGCGCTAGAAGCAGCGGTTCATCGTATTTCTATTAATGTGAAATATTTGCGAATCTTATTGCTTTTAGAACACTTGGCAAAATTGTTTAGTTTAATGGATCCAAATTCTCCTGAAAGAGTGGCTTTTGTATCCAGAGCACTAAAATGGTCTAGCGGGGGATCAGGAAAACTTGGACATCCCAAACTACACCAGTTACTAGCAATTACTCTGTGGAAAGGTAAGAAAAATCAACTGGCTTTTCTGTGTTTTGTTTTGAAAATGTTGAAAGTATGATCTATTGTTGTAAGAGATGTATTTTGGAAATAATCTAAGGAAGCTGAGATGGAAATGATTGGTTGAGTTCTGCTGTTACCTGATTTTTGCAATAACTTCAGCTTAATGAAAAAAACCTGGGGCTGTAACTCTGTATTAGTGCAAACCCCAAAACACAGCTGCTGTGAAGTTCTTGGTAAAAGGGAGGTTGATGGTTTAGGCATTGAGGTAGTTTGACTGAGTCAGGAGGAAGAAAACTGCTGGGGAGCAAAGCTGTTTTGTTGTGGTTTTATTGTTTTTAAATCCTGGGTAAACACACCGAAGATTGAAATACATCACGTAGCATCCAGAACAGTCTTTGGATCTGTGATTAGGTACTTTTGGGGAGGTTGACCAGCAGGTCTGTTCCAGAATGAATGCTGTTGCCTTTGATTTATGTGGGATTTTATCACGTGTGATGGGACGTAAGATAAACCAGAAATACACTAAAGAGTTACTTTTAATTGTGGATGATAGCCAGTTTTGAAACTATTATGTTCAAAACATAACAAAGGTGAGTGCAACTGTTGAATAAATGCCATCTCTTCTGTGGTTTTTCGTGAATGATTAACTGTGCAAGATGATTGTTTGTTTATTTTGAATTTTTCAGTAGCTGTAATGTGATGATAGTGGTTTCATATAACAGTCCTGACCCAATGGTCAGCATTCCAGCTCATTGCATTTCTGCGTGCCACAGGCAATCCCATAGGTGTTCTCATGAGACTTACATTAACTTGATGGCTGCTGCCAGCCAGAAGGGGAGGATTTGCCTCTGAGCGTTTAAGTTAAAAGCTGAGATACTATTAGGATAAGAAGCGGTTGCATTCTGAAAGTAAAAATCGGCATTTTGTAGCCATCTGCTCACTGTTCTTTTGAAGAGCAAAATGCATACATTTTCCTAGTCTCTAGTTTTTGAGAGTTTCATCAGAAAAGGCTCAGGTTTTAAAAAAAACCCCTTTAAATTCAAAAAATTAGCATCTGTCCAGCCTTTCATTTGTCATTGCAGTGATTTTGCATGATGCTTTGCTTCCAGTTAAGTTCTTTCTTACACTTTCTTACACTTTTTTCCTGTATAATTGCTTTTCTATTCAGCATATGGAAGCAATTTTAATTTTGGTAGTGAGAGTGGGTTAGCTTAAAATAGGAAATGCCTTCTTTCTGTGCACTTAGAAAGAAGGACACTGAAGGTGCTGTTTGACTTGGTGCGCATAATCTAATCTGTAACTTCTTGATTCTTCTCCCAAACACTGATTGATAGCATATGAAGTGTCAACATGCCGTTAGAGAAAATAATATAACTGCAGCTCAGGCTGTTTGTTCTGGTGGTGGCTTTTGTGCTGGCATTGAATAAACTGTGTTTAATAGCAGTTGTTCAAATGTATTTAGGGTACCATATTTATTATTTCCTTTTATAAATTGTCTGTAATTTATAAAGGAAAAAGCCCACTCTCTTTTTGCTAGTTGTCTTGTTTATATACTGTGTGTGTAGCTCTTGTCCTCTTACCAGCTGTAGAATACAAGCCTAACAGATTTGTTTTTACATTCAGGTATGACGAACTGATTTCTTAAAAGCCATTTTCTTTTTCCTTTTGTAGAGCAAAACTATAGTGAATCTCGGTATCACTTCTTGCACTCCACAGATGGTGAAGGATGTGCAAATATGCTAGTAGAATACTCCTCGTCCAGGGGATATCGCAGTGAGGTGGACATGTTTGTAGCACAGGCGGTACTACAGTAGGTGTTAAACCTTTTTTTAACTGTTTTGCTGTGATGACACTGTGTTTGAGGCCAGTCTAATTTAATCATAGGTTAACCATGCATCCTTTTCAAAAGAAACTGTTAAACTGGCCAGACCTTCTGCAACTCGCTTTGGGTGGTAACAACAGGAGCAAACCATCTCTAAACTGGCTTGTTGAATTTGTCAGATTGGGGAGAGAAAGGAAAAAAAAAAAAACCAAAAGTATTAAGGTCAAAAGCTGAAATCACGTTAATTGCCTGAAGAATTAATGTAATCTGTTTGACCCTGAAAGCACAATTCTTAGCTTTGTTAACACTGCTTTATGTCTAGTTAGGGTTTACCTTGATGCTCTTACCAAGACAGGACCTAAGTAGGCTCTACCTTTAGCATAGTACTTGCTCTCAGTCTCATTGTCGTATGCGATGATTTGTGTTGGGTCACCCCGGTCTGTGAGCAGCAGTGCGGTTGTTCTTGGTTCGACAGAGTTGCTGGTGGCTTTCATTTCCTTTAGGCATTTATTTTGTAGGAGGTGGGAATGCGAGCTATTATGTGCCTTTGCAGAGCTCATGTACAATGAAGCTTGACAAAGCCAGTTTTACTGTGTTTAATCAGCTGATGGCTTGCTTCAGTCAGGGAAAGCAGCTCATGGAGGAGTCTGAGGAGGAGGTGGGGACAGGACGGTGATGCAGGGAGTCAGGGAGAGAGTAGGTGTTGAGGGAGAGGGAGGAGGTGAGAGCAAGTCTGTCTGTCTCTTGGCAGCAGTGAGCTGTCATGTCAGATTTGTCCTGCTTTCCGTAGCTCGTTAATATAGATTGCAGTGATTCTGAGGGGTAGAAAATCTTTTATGGAAACCCAGTACATGCAGGACTCTGAAACAATTTATGGGGCTTTGTTCTGGAGGGGGGCGGAAATTCTGTGGAGAAAAGTTATGAGTAAGAGATTTTTTTTATTATTTATACAGCACTACTACTGCATCCTTTAGTGGCCTATATCTCAAATACTGTACTAATCCTCTTACATAGCAGTTTATACTCTAATGAAAATAATTTTAGTTCCTTGCTCAGCAGTAAGGCAGAAGACACGTGAGGGTGCAGAATTGGAGGTTAGCCTGCAACCAAAAAAGAGACTGCTTGTGTCAGCCTTCCCAGTGCTTGTTGGCAGCATTTGTCCCAGATAAAGTCTCTTGCTAACCACATGGGACTTGCAGAGATTGCCAGTTAAATTAGCTGGACCTGAACAAAGATTTGATCGGTTTGGGAAATCGATCTGTTAACTGCTGACAGATGGCTTGGGCGCTCACAGTGTAGCTTTATTATGAGACTTCTAGACGTGTGTCAGACTTATTACTGGTGTTGATGCCATGGTATTTTGAGGTGGTGCTAATAGAGTGGCAGAGTCATTGGACGCTGGCAGGTACATACTGAAAGGAGATGTATTTGGGAGTCTTTAAAGAAGAGAGGTCTTTAATTCAGTTTTTACCTCAGCATAGTAAACTCTGGGCCAGTAAATGCAATATCATGTTTAGTTTGAATTATGTGAGAGCCAGTCTTTCCACATTTTGATTTAATTGATGCTGTCCTTTAATAGCCATCCTGTATGCAATCTGCTTAGATCCTAGTTAAACTTGTTCTATTAATATTTAATGTCAGTTCTCCCTCCTTATTCCACAATGTATTCTAGTCGTGATTTTCCCCGCCCTCGGCTGATAGCCAAACCATTGCCAAAAATGTGCTTCTCTACCAGTTAGTTTCTTGCCATTGGTTTAAGCCTGAGGTGGTTTCTGTGCGCAAATGAAGTAGAGATTGTTGAGCTTTTGGCTTCCCTTTTTCTTTCTGCATGTAAAACTACTTGTCTGCCTTTTATTTTTAACTTGCCCTGTTCTGTTTCCTTTTGCAGATTTCTCTGCTTAAAAAATAAGACCAGCGCTTCAGTTGTTTTTACAACATACACACAGAAACATCCTTCAATAGAAAAGGGTCCGCCCTTTGTTCAACCACTGCTAAACTTCATCTGGTTTCTGCTATTGGCAGTTGATGGGTACAGTCTGATTTTTCTCATGTTGTTCTTGGTTTCCCTTTCCATTGTCACTGAGATTACATTTTTGGTTGTTCCCTTTCTAGGGGAAAACTAACAGTATTTACAGTATTGTGTGAACAGTATCAACCTTCACTGAAAAGAGATCCCATGTATAATGAGGTGAGTTACTCATAGTTGTAAACAGGATTTAACCTACAGAATTAGTTAAATAATAGTTGTCTCCTATTTTGTGACTTGTAGATAGGAGTCAGTTATGTAACTTGTGCAGTGTGACTGTTGCCCGTAGTATTTCCACCTGTAAATGAAGTAGCTGACACTGTTCTTCATCTTGTGTCATTTCAGTACCTAGATAGAATAGGACAGCTTTTCTTTGGTGTTCCGCCCAAGCAGACATCATCCTATGGAGGATTACTAGGTAAGGTTTATGCTGACAGTTATTTATAGATACCACCAGGCTTTTCAGAGCCATGGCTTATATAAAATGGCCATGCTGGAAACAGATAATTTGTTCTAACTATTATATCAGTTTTTTCATAGCCTGTAGAAACAGTCCCTACTGTAGAATACAAGATGAATTTATGTGAAATTAATTTGGTGAAGCTAGTAGACTTTGAGAAGGGGAGAAGCATGTAAATGACTCTTATGATTAATTTTTTACATTATGGTATAACTTCCAAATGTAAAGAAAAAATCTTGTTTGTGTTTAAACGTTATTTCCTCAGCCTTCAGTGGCTGATTTTCCTTAAGTCAAGTCTGTGTCTTTGGTAGAGATGTAACCAGTCCTGATATAAAATGAATGTTCCCAAAATAGGAATTCTGAAATTAATACTGCCCTTCTGGAAGAAAGGAAAGGGAATAGAGAAATTCAGCCCTCATTTCCTGGCTCTTGACTAAAATGTGAACAAAATTGAACTGGATTGCTTTTGTAAAATCAAGTGTTGTTCCTTGAGAACTAAGCTTCTCTGTTTGTAAACTGAATTGAAGCTTTATCTGCAAATGTCAATTCACTGATACCCAAAGTTTCATGAAAAAAACATGAGCATCATAGACCTGCAGCTTTTCAGCAATTCAAGCATCTGTAATAAAACAGGGAGGATGCATAAATGACCTCAAACAAGTTCTTTATTGCATGACAGAGACTACTGGTTTTTTTTGAGTTTCATGGCTGGAGGGGTCTCTTGCCTCATTTGGTTTGTTTTTCCTCTTTTGTCTCATGCTGCAACTGTAGTACAAAAGTGTGTGACTTCAGTGGGGTTTTTCTAGTGTACTCTTGGAGAAGGAACAGTATCAAAATACAGCCTCTCAAATCAATAAACGCTTAATGGAAACCAGTGTGAGAGTACTAATGTCCTGCTAAGACTCTTTTACTTACTTAAAAAAGAAAGGGTTTTTTAATCGTTGAAATCTGCACCCTAGCAGGATGGTAGTTTTTGAGATGAGAATGTAAAACTAGCAATTTTGACTGTCCTGTATTTTATTCTAGGAAATCTTTTAAACAGTCTGATGGGAACTGGAGAAGAGGATGACACAGAAGATGGTCAGGAAGATAGCAGTCCCATTGAGCTTGACTGAATGTTGTTGCCATTGGGTGCCGTGTAAATCTGATGTTTCGATGACTCCAAAGACAGTTTTGGAATTTGAATCCTGCAGTTGTTTCTTGGCACCTAAAAGGGCTCCTCCGGTCTTTTAGAAATGGTTGCTGAAATGTTTATAATGTTTGGTCTATATTATTTATGTAAAAAAAGAAAGAAACCAACAAAAAGTAGACAAATGAACCAATTGGAGCAATTGTTAGCAGGTTTCCGATACAGAGGCTGGTGACTTTGATTAAAATATAGTCTTCTACGGTTTCTGATGCAGTATTCCCTTTTGCACAGTAATTCAATAAAGCATAAATATGGGTCTTGTACATCACGGCCTGCCCCATACCATGTTTGTTACAAGAAAGCCTCCTTGACCTCTGCCACCTCCAAGGAAGAACTCCAAAGGCAGAGCGATCAGTTGAATAATTTATTTGCGAGGCTGGTGCCAAAAGTACTGCGAGACGAGCCAAGTGGCATCATTTGAGATGCACGTCCAAGAGACACTGATACTGAGAACTCCCTCCCACTGCGGTGAGTAACATGCACGCCATCGATCTTGCCTTTCGCTCACTTAAGGTCTGGCTCTGGCCGAGCCCACGCGTGTGTTTAGCCAATACTTCCTGAAAAGCACAAGATTGAATTGCTCTTGAGTAAAAGCTGATCAGTGGAACATAGGTAATTGGCTTCCATGTGGATCTCTCTTGCCTAGGTTTAAAAATTTGGCTCCTGGCTCTGCTCCTTCAGAACAGATTCTTTTTCAGTGTAAGTTCACAACCATACGCAAAGGTGATGACAGTATAGAGAATGAAATTAATGTCTGCTGCGAGCAACGTATGTGTTTGAACTGCATCTGTATGTAAAGACAAGGGATACTGCAGAACTTTTGGTTCTTTACGATATATTTATTTTTCTTGGGTGATTGATTCATTTAACACTTTCTGTAAGAAAAGAATAAATCAATAAATAATGGAGTAACTTCAACCCCAGTGGCAGGCATAGCCATTCTACATCTCCTCCTCTAATGCAGCACAGCGGATGTCAGTGAACAGATGAAATGGTGGGGAAACGCTTTATTTTTTCACTATGAAAATAAAAAAGGCTTAGATTAATAAACAGCAATGATGCATGGGGGAGGGAGGGATTAATACAAATTTATTGACTGTATGAAAAAGGCATTGAAAGGAAGACTTTGTGTTAATTGTGAAGTCTCAAATAAACACTTCATACCAGGATGTGTGATAGTGCTGCTTTCTAAGAGCTTTATGAGCAGAGCTTACTTTCCTTGCTTTTTTTAATCCCCTCTGCATTTGACCACGGGTCACCAAGACCTTAGAGCTGCAGCTTTATTTCTGTGCAGTAAAGGTGTAGTTTTAGGTATTGTAATGTCTGGAGCAGATGTGGATTGCTTTGATTTGCAGCAACTTCAGGGAAGAACCTACTACCCAGGATGATGCTGTGGACATTTAATAAATGATCCGGGATGCCGGCAGCAGGTAAGAGCCACATCATTTCATTGCCTTGCCTGTCT